ATCCGTCGAAAAGTCGAGGTCGAAAAAATCATTATTCCTGTATTTTCTTTACTGGTTACTGGAAAGTAAAAAATTATACTACTGCTAGCTAATATTTCAATTTGATGTTCTAGATAATCATTGACGGAATCAAATTTTAAATATGTATCCTTTTTTAAAACACTAACGAACTATTTATTTATTTATTTATTAACTTCACTTTCTAATGGAAATATTATTTTATAAAATCGTATGCTATTATACATTACATTTTAGAGTTAATTTATTTATAGGGCAGTTGTAACAGTGGTTTCTTATATCTATTATGGGGTTCAAAGATTTCAAATGTATGCCTTTAGAAGGATAACAACCTGCCTTCTACAAGATTCACTGTATTTTAAATTTGCTATAATTCTCTATGCTCTTTTCTAAGTTGCAAACGCCTGATTTGAGTTCCTGCTGTGCCCGTAAATATAATTAATACCTATCTAATATAAAATTAATTAAGTTTATGTTAATAGGAAACTAAAAATATTATGAAAGAAAATAAATTATTTAAATTTTAAAAATCATGCCAACTACATAATTAAAACTTTTAAAAATAGTTACTTATGTAGAATGCCAAGCTTCCTCAATCAGTGGACCAAGCCCATTTTGTAAAACACATTGATTCTTCCACATTTGAATTAAGTTGAATCCAAAAATTACAAAATAGGACTATGTGAATCATCCCCTTTTGCAGTAGGTATACTCCCATTCAAAAAATGCCCAAGTCATTAAGATGACTTTCAGTCAAAGATTATTTTTTGTTTCAAACACTAATTTTTAAAATAAAAAAAGGCCATGGCGCCTACATACTTGATAAATAAAACCAAGTACTATTTTCAAAATCACAAAACATCATAACGATTTTTATATGCCACAAGTCTTCAGTGGCAGTGGAAAAAACTCTGTATTTGTTAAAGGTTTGCAAACATTTAACAAACTACCAGTACATGTGAAAAGTGCTCATCCACTTACACATTTTTGGCATGAACTTAATAAAGCATCACATAGTGACGTATAGTAATTTTAATACAAATACCGATGCACTTCATAGATCATATCAGTCTAATCATTTTAACAAGAAAGTTATTTAACAGACTATGTAAGTTAGAAACCACAGTAGCCCATGGGATTAAAAATAACATCGAAAAAATGAAATCTATAAAGACATGTGGAGAAGTAAAATATCATTGAGGATACCTACTTGAAGAATTCAAGAATGAAATTGCTAAACTATTTAAAAACAAGAATGAAAGTGTTAAAATATTTAAGTAGATAGTAAATCTCACTACTTTCATAACAGTTCTGGGTTTCAATTATTGAAGATAACCAGAAATGCTACAACTATAAACATGTATGAAAAGTAGAATCATCACGCAAACGTCAAGATTCTCCATCCTACCAGTTTTGAAGGACATTTGAAAAATGTTTGGCTCAGTAGGTTATTTAGCAATGTGTAACTGTGATATATTCTTCTTGCTAGAATATCTTCTCTTATTTAATAATCTTTCATAAAAGAAATCCGTTCATAGTTGTTTATTGGTACTAGTATTTTTTAAATCATTGTAAATATTTAATGATAGGACTCGCATAGCCAAACCTCCGAGTCTAATATTATTTTTTATATTTTGGAATAAATAAAAATACTGATTTATAAGAAATATATCAAACTATTTGTTATTAAAATAAGACAATGTGTTGTTTAAAAAATATATTTTTTTTATTATAAGAAAGAAATCATCCACTAATCTTCGTAATTCCTACAAAAATTCTATGATTTATCCTAATCCAAATTGCAAGTACTTGAATCACTGTCATTGCTGTTAGGATTAATTAAAATTGGAATAATTTTCAATGTATCAAAAACTCTCTTTCATACGATTTTAATATTTATTTTTCTGTGTGTTTAGTAGAATTTTTCCATACGTGAGGAATAATTGTTCAAAGAGCTTTAGACCACATATTTAAAGAATCTTGTTCTTTATTACCATCTCTGCTAATATTGTTATTATAATATTACTTGGAAAGGCCCCAAATAAGTTCAATGGGGTTAAAAACATAATTGTAGGGAGGAAGACGTATGTCCATATTTTTCTGCTTTTGGTGGTTTGTACATGAATAAAAAAATGTTTTATATATTTTTAGTTGCTATTTCGTATAACATCTGTCAATATCGCTATATGCTATATTCTAAATTGTAATATCGAAACGACACATCGTATCAAAGATTTAATGTAAGGTACACTGTTATTATGGCAAATCTTATAACATTTTAAATTTTTTGATATTATTTTTAATTTATTTCTGCAAAAAAATACATTTTTGGTTTTCACTGTACAACTCGAGAATATGAAAAACATGTTTTCCAATATGGTCAAATTTTTCTAATTTAATTGTATTCTTAAGATTTGCTATAATACCAGCGTATCTACCATTAAATCTGCAATATGATGTGTTGTTCCGATATTAGAATTATACGAGAAAGAAACAAGTTTTTGTACTTTATCAAGAAGTGCAAAATAAATAATGATTGGTAATACTTTTATTTACTTCAAATTTAGTGACTCACCTCTTGCCATCGATATTTGTAGTTCTGACAGTCTTCATAATTTTGCCAGGAGTGATTTATTGTTCCTTTTTATAAGATACATGTTTCTTCTGCAATTATATAATTTATTTTCTTGTTAGTTGACAATAGAATATTTAGGTTTAGGGCTGCTAAAATTGGCAAAAAATAAATTTCATATTTATATAATTTATTTTTAACTTACTTCTCGTACACTTACAGCAGTTGAAGGTAAAAGTGGTTCATTATTAATACACTTTCGTTCAAAATACTGTAATAACGAAGCTATAAACTCCTTACAACGACAATTTAGTTTTTTTTTGGCATTTTGTATGTAGAAATAAAAGACAATAATCAGCTTTTGCTCACACTTTGTTTTGAAAATAAACTTTTAAACCCTAATCAGTGAAATTTTTTAAAAAGCTATTGGCAACACAGCAATAAAGTATACCAATTGCCGAATGAGATTTCGTCTCTATAAATACAAAATGACTTAATGTAAAGTGTGGTTTTTTGAGTAGGTACTAAACATGTTATTGTTAGAAGTTAAAAGAATTAACTTCAAAATTATTGTTTTAAAATGATTTAGCACCCTGTATACTATAACACCCTGTATAGCCACTTCACAAAACACGTGTTAACATGGTTTTATAACGTTTTATTAAATATCTCGTAAACAATGTTTGAAATGTAATTAATTAAGGAACAAAATAAAGAATGTCTTTAAGGGCATAAGGCCTCTCACTTCATCGCGTTCGGCTGGTCGAAAGTCAAGTCCCCGCTCTCTCCTGGTCCTGAACACTGAAACGGGTAGACGTGGTATTGTCGACCCCAGTGGCGGCGATATCCTAATTCGCTGACTCTAACAGACACTGCAACGGGCAGACGTGGTATCGTCGACCCAGTGGCGGCGATATCCTAATTCGCTAACTCTAACATTATAATATTTTTATATTATCAATAATTACAAAGAACATTTTTCGCTTTTTTTTAGTAATATGACTACGTTCACGAATGCTCGTGAATATTCGTGACATTTTCGGATTATTAGCTTAGTTAGGGATATTTTAATTTGTTGGTAGTACTATGACGAAAGACTAATGTCACGGGATTTGTATTAAAAATACTATAATTGTATAATTTTTAAAAATATTTCTGCCTTCTCTCACAATCTTTTTATTGAGAAATATTTATATATTATCAGATGATATGGTTTTATTCACTATTATGTATTTTATTAATAAATGTATTAGCAAATAAAGGAGTTAATTGTATAATGAACTATTCGCGATTTAAATAAATTTTCGCGCGCCTTTCATTTCTTACCTATAATAAGTATTTGTTTATTTATTTGCTTGTATTTGTTTATTTACATTGTGTTTGTTTTGGGCTGGATTTTATATTTGTGATTTTTAACTGTTTTTAGATAATATTAAGTTTTATTTAGTGTTAATTTAAGTTTAGTTTTCGTGCTTTCGTCATAAATATAATATTTATCATGTGTTTATGACTAATTTGTTGAAAATCTTCACCTATCTGGCTGCTAAACAAACATCTAGAAATATTTATTTACTAAACGCAAGACATGTTTTATTATGTGGTTTAAAGTACATTTTAGGTGCCTACCTAACGTTTATTATTGATAAATTTAATTAAAAATCTTACTATCCTTATTCTTATATTATGAAGTGAATGATGTAGTACTTTGTATACCTACATGTAAACGGTAATAAAACTGTCACAATACAGATTGATTCTAGACAAAATTTTGCAAAATCTCTATACTGTGAATGTGTAGATACCCATTTATTGTAAGAAACAAAACTTTACGTTTGGAAATTAATGAGCACTTCAGTTTTGATTTTGACATTAACACCATAAAGATTGCAATTTGCAGAGGGCTTTATCGCAAATTTCATTTTTAATATAAACACTATCACACACTATATGATATATACAAATTTAAAGTTTACAAATAAAAAAAATCGAATTATAATTGATACAAATTAAAATTTAAACTGTGAACACGAACGCCAATGTTGCCAAGTGATGAACTGATCGTAAAACAAAATTGATAAATGAATTGAAATTTTATAAAAATCAATATGATTAATCGGTTTTATAAAAAATCCTAAAATAAATATAGAGTATGATTTCATATTGCTAGACACAAATTTTGCTACTTTAAAAATAAGGCCTTTCTACTTCTTTAAGGGCTAAAAATCCGACGACGTAGCGAAATTCCGCTACTACTGCCAACACTGAACAAAGTCCTACTTATAGACACCTTTCACAAATTTCCTCCAGAGGGCGTATATCACTTAGCCTAAATCGCGAATTCTTATAGATTTTAAGTGTACTGACATTATTGTAATCCTGGCAAATTTTTATACTAATCTTTTTATTGCAGGTCTCTATGATGACCGATTCTCTGGACGGTGAAGTATCAACTGGCTGTGTTCCGCATATAAAAAAGGAGTTAGATGGATTTCACGAATGTTCGCCGTCGAATAGTGAAATGTATTCGTCGCCGACAACGACAACGGTCTTAAACGACAGTAGTATTAAGTCTTCAAAAAGCGAGGTAACTATTGTTATTTTGTTCATATTTGTATTATTAATTATCTTCATCAAATAAGAATTGGCTCGAAGGACCATGTGTAAAATAATTCAAATAGATGACGAGAAAACAAGATACCACTGTTTAAATAGTATACATTACTATAGAAATGATAATAAACCTCCTTTTTGGTATTTTATTACTGTGCTTAACTTAGGAATTATCTTTCTTTTCAGGTGGATTTTCACGAAAAAAATTACGATAGAAATATTAGATCTCCAACAAGCCCCGAACGACAGTATTGCTCTTCAACCACCCAACCTCATAATGACTCAGGTTTAGAACTTATAGAAGTAAGTATTCAATTAATGTCTTGTATGTCATCATAACAACGTTTTACCAGCTTCTAACAGCTGACAGAAGTTTGTCAAAATTCATACTTTTTGTTTAGTTTTTCCACCCTCTTCCTAAAGTCCCAAAAACTAATTTGCTTTCGTTAGCCGAGAATTATCAAAAGTTTCATCTTTATTTGTCGCAACACTCTCTCGACTTGTTAAATGACATTTCTTCTTGTTTGAATTTCTAAATGCTAGTCTAGACCGATATCTGAATAATTCAGTAATGCAAATAAAGTTCAGATTTTTTTTAGAACGAAGGAAATAATGGATATGGGTAACATATTTGTAATGTAAATTTTTCGCCAGAAAAAAATCTATTTTACATTTTTTTTGCTACTAATTAAAACAAGCACACCTTATATGTAGGATAAGGCCGGCAGAAATGAATCTAGTTTTTATTTTGGTAATATTTTAAATGAACAGAGGTAAAACAATTAATCTAATCTTAAATTCGAGAGTCGCTAAAATGGTGGTTCCTACCTTATCCAGAGTGAGGCCCACAAGGGTAAACTCGTAGCGTAACAAAAATGAGAAATGATTTAACTCGGAACGAAAGACCGAAAGCTGATAGTAGTATTATCACGTTGAATTTTTTGTTTTGTGAAGCATTGGCATTACTTAGGTTAAACCATGTGATGATTTTCACAAGCCTTGATTTTTAAAATCATTCTATATCGCCTTTTGATTAGGGTTTAAAAACGTGTTCGAGCAATTTATCCAATAATAATTGATAACTGATATTTATTTATAAAATAAAAATGACATAAATCCATCGCATCAGATCTATTAGAAAAAATTCACAATATCACAACTATAATACAAATAGCCAATCTGACTTTCATGTACGGCAAGCCATCACTAAAAGTTCCCAAAATACAATTTTTATTAAAGGTTTAAAAAATTTAATAGACTGCCTACAGAAATTAAAAAAAAAACAATAAATGTATTCAAATGTAACCTCAAACAATACTTGATAAATAAACAGAACGGATATACTTTCTTGTGATAATACTCTTTAAACCTGCCCTTTTTAATTATTTCCCTTAATTTATTGTTATTTTACCCCTCGTTTTACTACTTGCTATGTTTAATTTATTAATAGTTTTGCGACGATAGGTTATAGCAACTTATAGCCACAAAACTATTTTTGTGTTAAAGTAGATCCATAGAAGCAATGTAATTTACAAAGGCCTTCTTTCAACATACAAATAAATGACAACTTTATAATTAAAATGAAAAACACAACAAAATACCTGGGTATCATAATTGATCAAAATTTTAAATGGATTGATCGATCACATTACGTCATTAAAATCCCAAGGTAAGAAGATTCATTTTTAAATTTTATGAATTGAGGAAATTTATAACTAGGAGTTTACTAATTATTATTTACAATTCGCTGGTCGAATATGTAATCCAAAAACTGTACAATTAAAATTATCTACAAAAAACCAGCATTATATCCTAACTCTCTTATATAATAAAAAAGTGCTTTGTATAATATAAGAACATTATTTGTCTTGCTGTACCTTTATTTATGGAAAGCCTGAATTGAGATACACTACAAATTTTTTGCAATAAATATCAAAAGAAGCATACATTTTTAAATAATTTGACATTTAAGAGCCATTCACACATCACAGTTGACATCTTGATACTTGACAGGCACAGCCAAGTATTCTGCTTTTTACCAAATAAAATAGCCGGTTAATTATTCTATGGGGTTCCGAGAGAGAGCCAGTAAATCTGATGGTGTTTTTGTGGCTAGGAGCGAAATAGTAGTACGCTTAAGTTAGCACCATCATAAAAAAGTAATTCTTAAGAAAGTGCTTATATATTTTTCATAAATTGGTAGGCTTGGCGACTAATTTCGAATAAAAATATCCTTCAAAATGGCTATGGTTGAAAGTATGCAGGTCGCAACCCGCCTTAGAAATTTTACCTTTACTATCAACAGCTGTTGTTTGACAGGTCGTTAGAGAATGTTTGCAATTTATGGAATGTTGAGAATGTTAGGAATGTTGACGTTAGAAATAATTTGAATTCCTAAAATTGTCACATAAGAATTGTATAGGCGGATTTTAAGAAAATTGATGTTAAAGTAGTTAGGATGAACCGAAAATTCTGAAAATCAATAGGGTTCTAAGTTTCGTACTCAAAATGATCGAAAACATGAAAAAAAAAGTTTTAAAAAAATGGGGGTAAGAAAATTTTTTAGTCTGCACGAATGCAACACTTAGGCCCCATAGAAGAGCCTCAGTAATAATAAATAGATAAATAGATAAACAGACCGAGATGGACAGTGGTAAACACAAGATGAACTAAAAACACTTTGTTTTTAAACAAGTTAAAACATAAACCTTGTGTTTAGAAAAATATTAACAATTACTTTTCAAATATATAATATATCGAACTGGCGATATTTTTTCTCAAATAGACTCTTGGCACTTTTGTCTGAAATGAGATAAAAACCCACTTTATTTTTATACGTCTCATACATATATTTTCACCGAAACACATTTTAGATACACGTAGTTCTGTTTCCATTTGAAAGGGAAATGTATACCATTCCCCAGCTATGTAGCTTCTGACAGAAACATGTAGCAACCTAAACTGGCATTTTCAACAAAATTTGTATAAACTTTTGGACGTGGATAAAATCCCGTACGTGGAATCGGGTCGAATTAAAATCCCGAACCGGCGGAGTTACAGATTAATGTCAAAGAAACTTATGAATACATTAAATTTTTAGTTAATATAGCATCATAAATGATTAAATTGACAGTAATAAATTGAAATCATGAAATATGAACGATTTACAAAAAAATATAAATTATAAAAAATATAGAACACATGAAACTAAGCAAATATTAGCGAAGGTATAATTATTCGAATAAAAATGTTTGTTAAGAATTAAGCTATTTGAAAGAAATAGTAAAGAATGAATATTAAATTACCTACGAATTAATTGAACAGTGGTCAGGGTTTCATGTTCATTACCAAAGAAAAAAGTATTTGAAATACATTTAAACAATAATAAGCTATGTGTTGTTTCATTTTAAAAAGGAAATACTTTGTTATTTTCAAAATTATATTTCAGTTAATACGTAGTACATAAATATGATTCTAGTAAAACTTGAATTCTTATACTATATTTATTATACAAAACAAAATGCAATAACATCCTAATATAATTCTAATCAAATTATTACATTTAAGGTTAGAGCACAGCAATGTCAGTGACCAATTACGTGTAATCTTCTTTAACCCCGCCCCGTTCGGGATTTTAATATTTTCGACCCGATCCCACGTACGGGATTTTATCCACGTCCTAAACATTTAGTGAATACTATACTAATAAAATATTTGACTCGCCAAAAGATTAAAAGATTATTTACCTCAAAATCAGTCAACGTAACTGAACACAAACAATACCACCGGTCGCTCCACTAAGTATAGATTGAAAAAAGTTGAATAATTATATAAAACACATGTTGTATTAAATATTCAAGTTAAAATTGTGACAATAATTATAATTATCATACAGTCCACTCTTATTTATACAGAACAACGTGCCAAAGGTTCATAATCGGAAATAATGAAGAATAATCTTTATTTAAATAGGACAACCTAATTAATATACATATAAGATAAAAAAAGTGTTTTAAATATTAAATTTGACAATACATATTCATTAAAATTTTTCAAACACATTGGTTAATACTTATTTACATAGCGTCGGTTCAGAAGAATAAGTTATTTTCTATTAGTTTTAAATATTACGCATTTGAAACTTTTATTGTCCTATAACGAAGAGAATTCTAGGCAATTTTTGTTCTCCATGCTGATTCTTAGGACATTGGATAGTATTGCACAAGCTAGAATTGAATAGGACTTAGACTATGTCAATAACTTGTTTTCAACCGACGATACATACTAACTTAAACAAAAAAGCAAAACAAAAAGTTGAAGTAAATTAATCAAAATACATTATTTTTATTTTTTATAAACATTTTCAATTTGATAAATTTTGAGCTTTTTAGTAAAAAAGTAGAGATTTTTAAAATATTTTTGTTAATATAACTAAAGTGATCATCAAAAAAAGTAAATTATGAAGTTAAAAACATAAATATTTGACAGATGATATATCAATTTTTTTATTGTTGATTTGTAAATCAATGTCATTAATATTTAAAGAACTGTATTTATATTTAGTACAAGTACTAGGAGCTTAGTTTTGCTAACGTTTGATTTCAGTTTGTTTAGTTTTAAATAATAACCAACCTGTTTAAACACTGTTCATTTTTCAAACTTCTATCACTGCATGTAGTCATGGTATCGTCAGCAAAGGTTAATAAATTCACAATCGACTAACAATTCCAAGTCATTTAGCAAAGTATAAAAAGAATAGGGCCGAGAACACTACCCTGCGGAACTCCTACATTGATTTCCATTTCAGATGACACCGATTTGTTAAAACTCACAATTTGTTTTCTATTAGTAAGATAGTCGTCTAGCCAGTTACAAACTTCCACCAATTCCGTATTGTTGGAAGTTTTGTTAATAAAATATTTCTATCAATGATTTAAAATACCCATTTTAATTCTAAAAAGACACACAAAAAGAACAATGTACCTACATCTTTTCATCTACATTATTTTTTTAATTTACTTATAATCACTGTACTAATTTTAAGATCTGATGGAATCTTACTAGAATCAAGGAAAGTATTAAGTAGATTTAGAATGGCGTGACCAATTGTTTCAAAAATTTCTTTCAAACGTTTTTCCATTTAATATTTCAAAAGCAGAACCTTTAATATCAATAGAATTCACTATAGTACGCAATTTTTTCAAAGTGAATAGTTTTAAGTTGATAAAAAAATATAAATTGCCATTTAAATTACTCCAGTCAACAGGAGAGAATCCATGATCTCAATTGAGGCGTTCAGCGTA